AACATTTTAATATATTTGCTAATTTGTTTCATTTATACTACTACTTTATCTTAGATTGGTGCAAAGAAAGTTTTGTGCTATTATCTGTTTCTTATTCATAAGAATTGGTTTGGTTTGTATCTTTTACGCTGAGTAATTACTTTGAAGATAACAATATTCAGTGTATTAAACTATTGTTTTTCTCTTATTTTGTTATGAATTCTTGTTTTATAAATACAAATTTAAAATAAAAGAAAATAAAGTTTTTAAGTACTGATCCGGAAAAGTTCTATACTATTGGGTAAAAAAAAAAAATCAAGATATGCTACAGTATAAACATTATGCTTCCGTTTTTTTTTTAGGAGAAAATAAGGTATATTTAAATTGGTTTATCTATGCAACAAAAATATATAGAAGGATGAATAAAAAACTAATAACTGATTATCAGGAAAACTGGGGAAAAAGAATTAAGACTTTTCATGGGATACTTTTATATATATATTTATATATTTATTTATATATATATATGTATATATATACATATACATACATATATTTTTTTGGGGGGGGTACTGGGGATTGAACTCGGGTCCTTGGGCTTGCAAGGCAGGCCACCGAACCACTGAGCTAAATCCCCGGAAACTTTTTTATATTTTTAAAGCCAAGTGAGAATGTATTATATATGCACCAATAAAATAAATACCTTCAAAGAAGGAGTTGAACCAATAAATAAGACCAAGTATACAAGAATGTAAGAATAATAAAAACCTGTTCTGGGATTGAACTCGGGTCCTTGGGCTTGCAAGGCAGGCCACCGAACCACTGAGCTAAATCCCCGGAAACTTTTTTATATTTTTAAAGCCAAGTGAGAATGTATTATATATGCACCAATAAAATAAATACCTTCAAAGAAGGAGTTGAACCAATAAATAAGACCAAGTATACAAGAATGTAAGAATAATAAAAACCTGTTCTGTATGCTAAACACTCCCTAGAGGCTCCAATCTGAAAGCAGAATTGGTGGCTGAGAGTACTCCGGGCAGGGATGTGAAAGCCAGACCTAGTGGGTGCCTGTGTTATTGCCAGCTCTGCAGGCAGGGAATTAGCTAAGTCCACTAGTGAGGACCTCATCTTCCTATTCCATTCCCATCCTAGTTTTGGCTTGTTCCCTCTCTTGGAGCCACCAAAACTGTGTTAAAAGCAGTCATTCTTTTCAGTCATCTAGGCTAGGCAGAGGTTAGGATGGATGGAAAGAAGGAGTTTCTTAAGAACTGGAGCAGCAGGTCTTCCTTCCTTTAAACCCCAACCCAGAGCCAGGCTGCCTCAGGAAGCTGCTTCAGTGAGCACACAAGGCCCTACCTCTCCCAACTCGGGGAGACAGACTGATAGGGGGCTGTATCTCCCCCTAGCAGGGTTCAGGCCTTTTACCTCTTAATTATTTTCAACTCCCTAAACCCCACATCCAACCTCCAGAGAAAGGGCAGCTCAGGTCAAAACCCCAGGATGCTCAGCTCCAGCCACACTGCCCAGGGAGCAGGACAGTGGAGAGAGAAGAACAGGCCTATCCAAGAAGCCCCCAGTCAAGCAGGGTAGTGAATCTCCATGGCCAGTTGCTTCCCCAGCCAGGCAGAGAGAATATGGCACCGTCTCTAGTTTTAGAGGAGACAGGCTGAGGTCAGATCAGGACAGAGACACCAACCGGTTAGTGACCAGGTAACCTAGCAGCTCCTTCATCTTGTAAAGCACTCTGCACACTACACTGCCATCTGCCAATATTTGACTTTTCTGAACTAGGTCAGTGTCTGATTCATCTCTGAGTCCCCAGCTGAGGAGGAGAGTAGGGGTTGGCACAGTCAAGGAGCTTAGAGTTAGGAATTACTGTGAAGGGCAGAGGAGGAAAAGGACTTGCCTACATAACCTAGCTCTAGACTTCAGGGTTTCTGCCACCTTCAGCCGAGCACCCTTTCCTCAAGGTCCCTCTTGCAAAGTAGAACATCCATTCCACTCCCATTCCAAAGCTCTCTGCAGTGGGGCAGCTACCAAGGGCTACCAAGAAGGGGGAGGAAGATGGAAGATCTAGGAGGGCTTCCCAGAGGAGGTGGGAACTACACCCAGTTTTCCTCTTCCACACTGGTCACTTCCTGGAGCAAGTGCCTTTCAGCCACGAGTCTCCCTCCCCATCAGCCCCAACAGCTTCCACAAGGAATTATCAGGCTTCTTTCCAATCATTTCCTTTTCCAAGCAGGCGCATAAAAGGTGACCGATAGGTGGCGCTTTTCTCACCAGAAAAAAATAGAAGAGAGGTAGGAGGATGGAGTATAGAGAAAGGGGAGGGAGACAGGCAGAGTGTAAGGAGGAAGTTGAAAAGAGTCTAAAACCAAAGGAAACTAAAGGCTGCCACTCGGCTTGGAAAGATGGAAAGATACACTTCAAAATCAGAACTGTCGGGTGGGGATATCGGGGCAAACTGAGGGATGTTATTGGTGCTGGGTGTTTTCCATACAAGTTTCTACCTCCACTCACTTCTTAGAGGAAGAAGAAAGACTTTGGAGTCAGGCTGATCTGGAGCCAAGGCCTGAATCAACCTCTTGGCAGCTTGACCTTGCTAGTCACTTGACTCTTTGAGCTCGTTTCACCATTTATAAAGGTGATGACGTATAGCTCCCACAAAGGAGAGCTCATAATTCTAACAGTGCCACTTTTGCATTCCAGAAATAAACTGCACTTATTATTTTTGTTGTTGTTGTTGTTGTTGTTCAGTTTTGGTTTTGTATTTTGAGACAAAGTCTTGCTATGTAGTTCAGGCTGACCTTGAACTCCCATGTATCCTAGGCTGGCCTCAAACTCTCTGTGATCCTCCTGACTCATCCTCCAGAGTGCTGGGATTACAAGTGTGTACCACCACACCCGGCTACTGTATTTCTGTATTACACACCTGGATTCAATTTGCTGGTACTGTTTGTTGGAGAACTTGCATCTGCTTTCATAGTGAAATTAGATTACGTTCAATGGGCTTACACCTTCTTTATCAGGGTTTGATTATCAAGTAGACTGGGGTGACTTTCAAGCATCTGCCTGGAATGATTTATATAACTATGAAATTAGTTTTCTTGGTGGTTCCATGGAGTTCCCAGGTAAAACAGGTTGGCAGAAGTGCCCTCTGGTGGGAGCAAGACAGCAGTTGCTTCTGTGCTCCTGGATCTATTGAGATCTGTTATTGTTGGCCAGGTGTGGTGGCACTCGGAGGCTGAGGCAGGAGGGTCTGTGTGAGTTCAAGACCAGCCTGGGCTACACAGTGAGTTCCAGGTCAGTCTCAACTACATAGTGAGACCCTGTGTCAAAAAAAAAAAAAAAAAGAAAAAAGAGATCTGTTATTATTAAAATCAGTCCATCCGACCATAGCTCTCTGTCAGACAAATGATCACCATAAGCTTTTGGGGTCAGCATGATGCTATTATTAAATGAGCAAGTTTGTAGCCTTGGTGGACTCACAGGATTTTAGCCAATGTCTGATTCTACGGTTTTGCTATGTCTAATTTTCTCCACCTCTCCCGAGCCACCTTCTCTGCTTGGATAACGCAGTAGCCCTTTAACAGGCTCCTTAACACCATCTCCTTAGTGTGTAGTTAGGGCTATGAAATGTCCTCTGAACACAAGTTTGGCCCTATCTATTTACCTATCTATCTATGCTGTGCTGAGGCTCAAACCCTGGAAGGCAAAAGTTCTACTATGGCTGGGCGTGGTGGTGTACACCTGTAATCCTAGCACTCAGGAGGCTGAGGCAGAAGGATCTCCAGGAGTTCAAGGCCAGGCTGAACTACAGAGCAAGACCCAGTCTGAAAAAAACAAACAACAAAATTTCTACTATGAACTACATCCCCCACCTTTTCCTGTAGATTTTAATATATGCTGTTTCTCTTGTATTAATTTATAAATAGTCCACAATTACAACTCTTCTAAGAAAAGAGTCATTTCTTTAGATAAGCATTTTTACATTTTCAATTCCTTCATTTTAAGTATGGTCCAAGAATATATTCTTATAAATGTAGGAATTTATGAGAAAGTTGGAATGTTATTTTTATTGCAGTAATAGTCTACCAAAAATTAAAAATAAAAATAATTTAAGCCATATTTGAGGGTCACCTAAATGACTTCTTATAACAGAAGTCTGGTATTTAAAGTATTCATTTATACTTATTGTCAAGTAGTGCTACTTTAATCTTGAGATGAGGCAAAAAATAAAGTAGGTTTTATAAGAAAGGGGCCAGTGCGTGGGTGGCCTGCTATGTGAAGAAATGCTTCCAGTCTGTTCAAAAGAGAGAAGAGGGGGCTGAGTTTTGTCATCACATAGCTCCAGGCAGGCCAAACCCCGAAGAACTGCCGAGGAGAAGGGAGTGCCACGCTCACGGTGCAAGTGGTTTCGTTTCAGCAAAACAGTATCTTCTTTTACATTTGCTTAATGTCATGGACTTGAAATTTGGTTTTATTGCCGTTTGAATTTATCAAAGACTTCAACAGCAACATAAAAAACAGAAGTCTAGGGCTGGCAGTGTAGCTCAGCAGTGCCTTGCCTGCCTGGCAAGCATAAGGTCCTAAATTCAACCCCCAGTACGGGGGGGCGGGGGGATAGAAGTCTAAAAAATGTATGATGGTACATATCAAGTGACACCCTTTAACAATTTAAAATCAACACTGAAGGCTCACAGAATTTTTCTCCTTTAAAAGTAGACAATATTGACCTCTTGTATCTTGCAGAATCAACCCCTTAACCTTCTACTTCCAGAATCTCTGAGAAGTACATGGGTTGACAGCAACCCTGTCACTAGATAGAAGGGCTTCTATGTTGCTCGGTTTTCTTTCCAGGTTAATTACCTGCCCAGAGCTCTGAAAGTTTCCTGAAGGAGCTTCTCTGTTGTCATGACTGTCAGTGTCCCTGCCAAGGGTGTTGTCTTTCTATGTAGCTGATGTGTACCCTGTGTGCTGGGGTGGTGTTGACCCTTTCTTAGCCGGATCCAGGAGCCTGTAACATCAGCCCTGGGCCTAAAGCCACTCTTCTCATGCTCCAAGTCCATCTAAGTCTGGATGCAGCCCGTCCAGGGATTCTCCTGTCAACTCTCTTATAAGGCACTCTCAGCAGACTCCCTGCCTTCACCCTTCCACCCAAACACACCGTAACACCTTCCTGGCTTCCCTGGAGGTAACTGAGAAAAACCTCCCATTCTCCAATTCCCATATACCCTCCCCACCCACACACTCATAAAGTCTACAGAAACACAGCTTCAACTCAAATATTTAATTGTCAAAGTGCATGCTTAACTTCTCATGTTAAAACATCTTAATTTCAAACAAAGAAAGTTTCCAAAACAAATTACCTCTACTGGAACAGGGGAATAAACCAAGAAAAAGAAAAATATAGAATCCAGGAAGCAAAAGATTCAACACAGCACAGAGATAGTGGAAATTCCCAGGATAGATAACTATGAAGGGACATTCCAGGTCCACATCTGTACAGCAGACACGGAAAGCCATCAGTCCAAGTTGGAGCTAGACGATGGAGTAATCTGGGAGATGCTCCCAGGATGGCAAAACACAACCACCAAAAGCAATGATGGATTTTTTTGATGTTTGACTTCACAAAAAAAAGTTTACCACAGTGCCACTGGAAGGTATGGGAAGATTTAGCGGTGGATACAAAGGAAGCTGAGCAAATGAAAAAATGGTACTATTGACTCTAGGAAAAATGAAAAGTCATACACAAGAAAAGGAGTTGTTATAATGTACTGGTAGCTTGTCAGAGAACAGTATTTGTACAGTAATACTAGTGTAAAAGCTAAAAATTAACTTAACCAAAAGTTAGTAATTTGAGTGGGAATGGAAAGTAATGGCGATATCAGGTTAACAAATACTAAGGGAGAGCCGGGGATTTAGCTCAGTGGTTCCGTTGCCTGCATTGCAAGCACAAGGTCCTGAGTTCGATCTCCTGTACCAAAAAAGAAAAGAAAAAAGAAACAAATATTAAGGGAAAGGCTGCTATGCATCAAGTAAATTCACCTTTGCTCAAAGCAGTTAACAGCTGGGAGAATGGGGCTATAAAGGACACTTTCTACCACACTGTGCATACTTTCTGCCCAACCTCCAAAGAGAGACTTCCCAGATTCCCTGCACCTCTCTCCTCTTCTGAGCTGTCACCCGCACCCTGTCCCAACACCCCAGAGCTTCAGATGCCTGGATCTAGGAGAGGTGCACCAGGTATGTACAACAAGCAAAAAACTCACCCTGCCTTCTGGATGTACTGATCCCCTTTCCCACCCTTCCCTACCCTGAATTCAGGCTCAACTAGACTGGGAGCCCTGGGACAGGAAGCCTGGAAAAGCCTGATGCTTAGTGTGTGGGTCAGTCCCATAGAGCAGACCAGGGCCAAAGACCAATTCCCCCTTCACACTTCAACCCAAGTCATTGTTCAGTGCTGCCCTTCCCTGGTGCTGTGGACAATCAAGAATTAGTTCTGGTCTGGGGTGGGGGACTTAGCTCAAGGCACTGGTAAGCACAAGGTCCTGAGTTCAGTCCCCAGTACTGCCAAAAAAAAAATCATCAGTTCTGGTCAACACTGCCCCATCTCACAACCCAGCAGGGGAGATAAAATAGGGGCATAACTGACTGATGGTGCAGTCCAACTCTAGAAGTTCAGAGCAGGTGGTGTGGTCTGTAACTTGGTCTCTCTCCTCATAGCAGGAGCTTTGGCTCTTTTAGACTGAGCCCCCAGCCTGGACCCTGTGCCTTTCTCCAGCTTTGTGTGCAAATCAATCATGGGGGAATTTTGTTAAACTGCAGAATCTAATGATCCAGTGTTTGAGATGGGACCTGAAATCCTGTATTTCTAACAAGTTTCCAAGTGGCCCACACTGAAGTACAAAGTTCTAGGACACTTAGGTTTCTGTGAGCAGTGACGATTGGATTGACCCCCTCCCCCACCTATAGTTCTGAGAGGCAGGGATTTTCCTCATTCAGTGATGAATCCTCAGTTCCTAGCACAGTGCTGGGCACGCGATGCTCCCTTATCCACAGGAGCTGGGAATGACCCTAAACTAGCAGGCAATGCCACCGCCCAAACGCACTCCCAGGACATGTGTGCACACACCCATGCACACCCTATCCCATCCCTCCCTACCAGGCTTGAGATGCCGGTGACAATATGTGACTAACCCTACTATGTGCACGACTTTGGCTGAATCAATCCTTAACCCCACTTCATGAAGGGGTCTCAAAACCAGGTGGCACCCCACAATACGAAGTTCACCAGCTGCCCTACCCGGCCACTCCCCCAATTCACCACCAGCACACCAAGCCCTTCCTGTTTAATGAAACCAGTTTTAATAAAATTAATAATAATAATAATAATAATACCTTGGTAAGTCCTATGCTTTCCAGGAGGCAGGGCAGACACAAAGGTTCAGTGACACCCCAGGGGCTCTTAGTGCTGGCTGTCTCCGAGATACAGGACAACTGTCCTCAGGGCCTGGCAAAGGGCAGCCAGTGTGTCTATATGGAAGGGGAACAGCTTCGAGTAAGAAACTGAGGACAGACAGGTAAGTCGGGGTGGGAGTAGGGTCAAACGTGGGGAAATGAGGAAGATGTGAGGACCCAGGAGTCTGATCTCTAATGTGCCGGCAAAACAAGAGGAGGCAGTTTAAGATTAGAAGGAAGCTCCGGAAGGAACTCATGGGGGCATCTGGGGGTGGGAGGCTCTGCTGGTTGCAGCTCTGGGGCAGGGAACCCACAGACAACGCTGGGGTGGGGGTGGGGGGAAAAGTGAGGGATCACCGGGAGAGAGAAATAACCAAGGGCTCACAAATTGGAAGGGACGCTTCAGTTCGAGGGCGAGATGGGGGTCAGGTGTGCTCAGTTCAGGAGGCCAAGATGGGGATACTCAGAAGTGGGCCCCGAAGTCGAAGTCCGCAGTGCCGAGGCCGCGCTCCTTCCTGTTCTGGGGGAGAGGGGCGCCCAGGTGCTCCCGGCCAAGGGAAAAGTTCTCACAGGTAGCGCTCCAGCCCGGGGGCCGGAGCGAAGCC